ATCAGTCAAAAGTTTGTACTACCATTTTTTAATGTTTTGGGGGAAAACTACATTTTAATGTTTTCAAATAAATCTATTTTGCTCACCAAGACTGTATTTGATACAAATACAGTAATATTGTGCGTTTTTTAAATTTAGTTTTATTATATCAGTGTCACATACTTTTAATACTTTTATTCAGCAAGGATGCATTAAACTGATCAAAAGTGAGAGTAAAGACAGGTATGCTGCTCATTAAACTTTTCCTGTTTGAAGTTATCCTAACAGGAGTAGAAGGGCAGTTTTTTTAAGCATATTTCAGAAATTAATTGTATTCTGAAGCACAGTATAAACAAAAATAAAAAATAAAAAACTTAAATGAGATACTTGAAAAATAACTCTGATCAAAATTAGAGAACACTTACAGATACCTCCAAGTTATTGGTGTTAATCTGGCACCTGGTGCTAATTTCCTTATTTATATGACAAACCCTATTTAACTGAAAGCATTCCTCCAATTTTCACTGAGAATGCATGATGGCGGGCCACTCTAAGATGACTGAAAGCCTGCGACAGGAGGTTGTCCCTTTGACCCTTTCAGCCACTGCAAGTGAAATTGATCATTCCAAATATGTGATTTCTAGAAAATTGCAGCTATACAATGACACTAATACAAGTCCCTCAAAAAGGCTGGTCGTACGATAAATTCACGAGAGGACAGGATAACGCGGAGACTCTCAATGTGGAATCGGTTCAACACTGCAGCTGGAATTGCTCACCAGTTCAGTGCTGAACAGGGTAAGGATCTGTCTCGGCATGTTTAAGAGAAGTCAGACTGAAAGCGCACTCTGCAGTGACCAAGCCTCTCATCAGCAGAAATAATCAAAAGGCTAGGCTCACATTTTCTGAGGAGCATGTTGTGTGGAGATTGGAGAACTAATTTATTTGGGTATGATGGGAAACATTTTGTTCAGTTGTAATCTTCTTTCGGACTACAGTGGTTACTGTTCACTAATTTTGATCACTGTGTTTCCACAAAATAAAGGTTTTTGTTGAAACCTTGGTTATTTTGTCAAACATGTTGGTGGATCAGTGGTATACCCACAGCTAATATTCCTTCAAATTTTGAGCGGTGAAGATTAACAAAATTTCAGAAAACTTTCTTTAAAACTTTGAATTTTGAACCATCTGCAGGTTTGTGATGTAATACAACAGGCAGAACTGCTATAAGCATCCATCCTCTGCTTTTTTGTAGGGGATGATGCAATTATGAATGATTAGCAAACAGTTGCAGTTTCAATTTAAATTTGTCAAGACAGTATTCAGAATTAGCATAGCAATGATGCTCTGCTGACCCACAGCCAGTTGACAGAACTGTTACATGCCCTATTTGGCCAATGCTGCATTGCTCTGCATCATGCATTTGGTAAATGTTTGGTTTTCTCTGATATACTGAACATTGCTGCTGCAAATTGCACTGATTTAATCTTGTCACCAAGGTAATATTACCAAGCTGGCAAACATAATTAGGTTTTGTTGAAATGGCAATAATGACTTGTGACAGTCATCATCAGAATGTGTCATTTAGAATGCACTGAAAATTATAAACCAATCAGTAATATTTTGCAATGCCATCAATTTCCAGCTGTCATAGCTGTATAACTTCTAAGTTTATGTATGTGTGTATATGTTTATATGTGTGTGTGTGTGTGTACACACACACACATACATATATACACTTAGAAATACATAAACTTAGAAATGTATGATATTGATATTTCTGCCATGAAACACACAAACTAAAAATAAATACAAATTAAAAGTATAATTTTATGTTGAGGCAAATGAAAATGTTAGCATGGCAAATAGAAATCTGCTAGCAGGGGAAAACATTTTTACTTCCTTTCCCAGACTTTTTCTGTTCCATTATCTTTGTGGAGATTTGAAGGTTTGGGACTGAGGGAAAGGTATTCTGCAGTCACCAATCAAGGAAGAACTGAAGGGAGACACTAACTTTCTCAAGCAAATCAGGCAGAACTGATTGCTCTTTTCAATCAAGTATATTAAGAGTGCCAGTTCCAACATTTGTAGATGGATATGTGATTATTGAATGTGTGTGCGCAACCTTTTGGAACAGATCTTGATGCAACAGGAAGAAATCACCTGATTTGGTCTACACTCATGCGGGGCAAAGTACACTACCCGAGCACAGAGATCCGACAAGAACATGGGACATGTGTTGGGAAGCTTATCAGAACTACATGCATTAAGAGGACCATGAGAAGATCCTGGTGTATGATCAGAGTATCTGGGCTTTACACAAAGCTCAAACAGCAGAGATCAGCAGGGTGTAGAGCCGTGTGCTCCTGTGGGCACAGGCAGACTGGGACAGGATAGGGTTTGCAGTGCTCTTGTGTTCTGGTGTGCAACTCTGCCCGCCTAAAAAAAGCCGCTTTGATGGGGAGACAGGGATAAAGTGGAGAAAGTATTATTCTTAAGAGACAAAAATGCACTGTACTTCGTGAGAAATATGGAGTGAGAGACAAAAAAAGAGACGAAAAGCCCAAAGGTTAGCTCTGAGCAGCAGAGAGGAGGGTGAAAAAAAGCAAGAACTTAAGAAAAGAGAGGTGGCAGGAACTACAGAACATGAGAGGTGGTGTCTAACTGTGGCTCAGGGTTAAGGTAAGCTGTGCTACTATGTAAAAATCATGTTCTCTTGCCACTCTAACATGAACAGAAAGGTCTCGAAAAGATCATTAGCTAAATCTGAATTATTCATTCATGACTGCTTCAACACTTGACAGTCTTAAAATGCTATATATGATATATATTTTTAAACAGTATTTAATTTTCAGCATTTGTTTGCCATTAAGCATAATTAGCTTTGATGTAACGGTCAAAAGTTCATATTTATAGTGTACAGTAATCAATTAACACATTGTGTAATACATAACTCATTGTGTTAAATATAAATAAAATAATAATTTATATATAAATTCACACTTTAAAATAAATAAAGTTATATATAAATAAAATAGTGACGTTCTTTAAAATATAATGCATAAAATTCATAGTAAGTATTAACATATAGAGTGGGGTGACATTTCTTGCTGTAAGATCCTCATAGAGCTGACACTGGCTTGCAGTGGCATTCACTCTAATGAACTAAATCAGAGCCACAAACTGCTTAACCGTCATTCCAAATTAGATAAAGACCATTTACAAAGAACCGATTCTCTCTCAAATGTCTCTCTTCAAAGAATTAGGTTTGTGAGTTCATTCAGCCATCTACCTTGACAAAGATACAGCTGGTCTATTCAACAGTGACCGCATCCTTCACAACAAAGCACTAAATTACTTTTATTAGATTAGAAAAAGCAATTAGGTAACTAACAAAGTAAATAAAGCTCAAGGGCTTCAACCAAACAGCTCCAAATGGAATTAAAGACAAATTAGCTTATTGACAGGAGAAATTATGCCACTGCTGGGATATGCATGCCTGTATTTTTTTCCCCTGACGGAGTTGAACTGAGACAGACATTTCATGTGACAATAATACGGGAGATTATTGCATTCACTGAGGGTCTTCATTTCCAAATCTGTTCGAAATGAATGAGAGTTAAGAAACCAGATATTTAAATTCACAGAAATCTCCCTCAGCATAGTGTGAAGCTCTAAAGCTCTTAATCACTGCAAGCCATAATAAGAATCCATTCCACAATGTCAGAACGGCTGTGTGAGACTTCGCCACCATCCCTGCTAAGCTACCTCCCCATTTGGACTCTTAACCTTTCCTGTCGGCCATACTGTGAAGCATATGGGCCCCTTGCGCTTCATTATAGTTCCTTCATCAACCCTCAGAACTGTGCTACACCATTCTAATGAAACTTGTCTATTCATAGCTATGGAAACGGCTGGATTTACACATAGCAAAAGGATTAAGAAAGGCTCTTTGGCCATTAACTAGTTTTATTTCATTCTCTGCAAAAGCTCTAATTATAGTCTGCGGGGCCAATTGCGTTCAGTCTCCTGGGTTGATCTCTGTAACATTAGTTCATCTAATTCAAGCCATAAAAAGCCTCAAAGCTCATGGCTTAAAAGAAGACCACAGGAGAAAACCAATAAAGGATTTGTTGAACACCATAAAGCAGTGTGATTTAGATAGACGGAGTGACGTATAGATGAGGGTAAATATCTCAAGGTCACACATGACAGAGCCACATATTTTTCCGAAGGACACAGCTGATATCTACCAATCAGGGGTGATAATGTCTTCACAAACCAAAGCTGGGTGTTCAATTAGTCAGGTTTAACACATTTAAAGGACATTTTTTGATTAAACATGATAACAGCTTATGAGTGGGAAGACATAAAAGGATAGGCTTCTGGATCAAAATAAAGGGCATCTTTATCTAGCCTGAAACAAACATGCAGCTAAACTGAATTGCATAGCATTATCACCAAGCCTTCCAAACTGACACTAATAACGCCATCACAAACCTGCCAGGAAATTAAGTCATTTTACTGAAATATTACATTGTGCCTTAGCAGTAAGCAGACTGAAAAGGTTGAATGAGTTGAATTCCTGATAATAATAAAAAATCACTTTAATTTCTATCAACAAGAACTTTCTGTGCTGAATGGACACTCTATATTTAACTGAAGTACAGATATTGTAGCAGACATTATGAACTTTGCTGTTTAAAAAAAAAAAAACTACCACCAAAAAAAATCCCTTGTTCTAACACTGATTTGTATGCATATTTATGGGGAGTAAAAAACAAATCACCTCATCAACTCCTATGACTCACAGTAAATATTCATTATGTCAAACACTGCGACAGTATTAGTGTGCTGATATAACAGGAGGTTTAGTCACAGTCTCGTAATATGCTACACAATACTGCTAAAACCATAAATGCAAATGTAATCAGACAAATAAGCCATAATAGTTATTTAAAACGATTATATTGTGCCCCACTTAAGAAATCCTGTAAAAGTAAGCATATCCATCTTCTTACCCTTGCTGGCACATTCAACATGCTCAAGCTCATCAGGGAACTTCAGGATCTCAGGATACTTTTCTTCACATTTCTTGGCCAGAAAGTGCAGAAGAGTTGTATTCTGGTCAGTCGACTTGGTGTCACGAAGCTGCAGAGAAAAGATTAAGAAATGAGTCATGAAATTGCATCGAGTTAATATAGTAATTTTAATGATGAAACATTTAAGCAAACTAGAACTTTGAATAAACTGTACATGTACATAAACAGATACTTATATATTTATTCAGCTAATTCAAACACACAAGAAGACAAAAAGAAAAAAAATTGCATGTTAGTGTTAGATAGGTTGACCGATAGATAGAACAATAGGTAGAATTACAGACAGAATGATGATTAGACAGTGAGAAAAGATTAAGAAATGAGTCATGAAATTGCATCGAGTTAATATAGTAATTTTAATGATGAAACATTTAAGCAAACTAGAACTTTGAATAAACTGTACATGTACATAAACAGATACTTATATATTTATTCAGCTAATTCAAACACACAAGAAGACAAAAAGAAAAAAAATTGAATGTTAGTGTTAGATAGGTTGACCGATAGATAGAACAATAGGTAGAATTACAGATAGAATGATGATTAGACAGTTAGAATGATACAACGATAGGTAGGTAGCAAGATAGAACGATATACGAAACAGTGGAATGATGAAATGACAAAACAATAGAGACAGACAGAGTGACAGAGAGACAGACAGGCAGGGACAGACAGCATATTTCAGCAGAATGAAGGCATGTTCTATCCACAGAGCAACATGTGTTCAGCTGGGTCTAACCAGGATCACATCATAAATTTATGCATCGACAGCACTTCAAGGTATTTGTGCAGAAAACTGACAAATAGGTGTGTCAATAAAGTTGAAATTGGTTGGAGCAGAGTGCACAGAGGCATATTTCCCTCGTTTACTTATTTACCACGTTTAATTTGAAAAGGAGCTTTCTCCCCCAAAATACAACTGTTCTTTGTACAAGATTAAGGTGACGTGAAAGAAATTAAATATTTAGATCAATACACACCACTCACATTCGTGCTGCGGGCTGCTGTATTGTATGCAATAAAATGTCTGAATTTCATCTTAACATCAATCCATATCAAGGATCAGATAAACTGGACCAGAGTTAAACAACCAACACTAACCAATGTAGTTAAATAAAATTAAACTGCTCCACAGAAATCAAACCCTTTTGATTAGAACACCACAGCTTTAAGCTTAAAACATTTAAAACACACCTATCTTGGAAGAAACCGATGAAAAAAGGCACATGTTGTTTTTATAAGACAAATAAGCCATAATAGTTATTTAAAACGATTATATTGTGCCCCACTTAAGAAATCCTGTAAAAGTAAGCATATCCATCTTCTTACCCTTGCTGGCACATTCAACATGCTCAAGCTCATCAGGGAACTTCAGGATCTCAGGATACTTTTCTTCACATTTCTTGGCCAGAAAGTGCAGAAGAGTTGTATTCTGGTCAGTCGACTTGGTGTCACGAAGCTGCAGAGAAAAGATTAAGAAATGAGTCATGAAATTGCATCGAGTTAATATAGTAATTTTAATGATGAAACATTTAAGCAAACTAGAACTTTGAATAAACTGTACATGTACATAAACAGATACTTATATATTTATTCAGCTAATTCAAACACACAAGAAGACAAAAAGAAAAAAAATTGCATGTTAGTGTTAGATAGGTTGACCGATAGATAGAACAATAGGTAGAATTACAGATAGAATGATGATTAGACAGTTAGAATGATACAACGATAGGTAGGTAGCAAGATAGAACGATATACGAAACAGTGGAATGATGAAATGACAAAACAATAGAGACAGACAGAGTGACAGAGAGACAGACAGGCAGGGACAGACAGCATATTTCAGCAGAATGAAGGCATGTTCTATCCACAGAGCAACATGTGTTCAGCTGGGTCTAACCAGGATCACATCATAAATTTATGCATCGACAGCACTTCAAGGTATTTGTGTAGAAAACTGACAAATAGGTGTGTCAATAAAGTTGAAATTGGTTGGAGCAGAGTGCACAGAGGCATATTTCCCTCGTTTACTTATTTACCACGTTTAATTTGAAAAGGAGCTTTCTCCCCCAAAATACAACTGTTCTTTGTACAAGATTAAGGTGACGTGAAAGAAATTAAATATTTAGATCAATACACACCACTCACATTCGTGCTGCGGGCTGCTGTATTGTATGCAATAAAATGTCTGAATTTCATCTTAACATCAATCCATATCAAGGATCAGATAAACTGGACCAGAGTTAAACAACCAACACTAACCAATGTAGTTAAATAAAATTAAACTGCTCCACAGAAATCAAACCCTTTTGATTAGAACACCACAGCTTTAAGCTTAAAACATTTAAAACACACCTATTTTGGAAGAAACCAATGAAAAATGGCACATGTTGTTTTTATAAAGCAAGAACCAAGTTCCCTTGGTGACATAAATCTGTTGCTTGAGAACTAGAGACATGATAAACCAAACATGGAGCGGTGTTGCTCTTCCCTCTCTTCTCCATTTGGAGGGCCATGGCTGCAGGCCCACATTAAGCAGTGCACTGGGGCTGGGTGACCTCTTCACCCTCTCAGACTCAAACAGATTGTTTGCTGTCAAGCCTAGACTCCAGGAAGGCTGCTTTCGCACAGAAGATGGTTGCTGAGTCCCGCAGCAGAGCAAAATGAATCCTCAAGCTGGACGTACTGCACAGCAGATGTGATATTAACCTTTACACAAACTGATGGCAAACTTGCGACAGCTGGCACATTTCCCCACTACACATAATGTCTCCCATAGATTTTCTCTTCCAAAATGTCTCAGCGGATAGAGAGGTGAGGAATTGGTTTTCTGCTGGAAAAATGTGGCAGGTACAATGAGGTAAATTAATAAATGGACGCAGGCTTTTACCTCTTCTCTCTTCATAAATCGTATTGGGTGTGTTTGTCTTAAACAAATGAGACAGGAGCATCGGACCAAATTTAATATAAAAGTCAAAAGAAAACAAATATCAGGCATTACTATAACACCAATCACATGTGTGATTATTTAAAGGTGATGTGATGGAAAACAGGAACGGCTTTCCTCTTCTGAAATAGATGTCTTTTCACAATGCAAAGATTCCCCAGTCCATGCAGACTATTTATTAAAAACTGCAAAAATTATTAATTTACAAACTGTCAAAATATATAACATATACTGTACATATATTTCTAAATGACTTATTTTTACGTTTTAAATAAACTGTTTAATTAAATAATACCAAAAAAAAAGTTGTGGTAGCTTTTCAAAATAAAATAAAATGAGTAAAGACTATATATAAATACTTACAGGATATGATCAGAAATCAAAAATTAAAAATCTGTAATAATCTGTTCATCCAAAGAGAATATTTCATAATCCCATCAATCATCTAAGAGCTTGCCGGATTGAGAAGTGTTTACAGTTTTGTTTGTAAAAGTAAGGGTGGAAAACTGTCATGTAAATCTAAACTGGTTTTTGTGCAATAAACCTTGACTAACACTTACACACCTGACCATCAGGCTGTCAACGTTGACAGAACCTCTCGCTGGCCAGCTGCTGGGTCGTGAGTGGATGCTGATGTTTCATTTAATAGCAGGCAGAGATGAGATTAGCCTCCTCTGCCGAACAGCTGACAGGAGTCTCTCTCTCTCCCCTGCTGCATTCCATTTGGCCCATCCAGCGTACGTGGCCCGTCTTCCCTAATGATCTGGGATTAGTTAAATGATATGCACACCAAAGGATTCATTTATCATTTTGATATGCAAACAAAGGACATATATTAATCTAAGCACATTGTGACGTATAATTACCTATTCAAAGAGGTCTCAGAGATCAATAAAGCTTTTAGCCCTACAAGGCCTTTGTATCCTTTTCAAAGAGAGAAAGCTTTCCTGAGATTATAAAGCAATTGTTTCCAGGTAGGATGAATTGCTGAGAGCTCAAACTGGAGGAGTCACAATTGATTAGTCCATTAGGAAAGCCTAATTTAGCCCCTTGCTTTACAGCCCGTTTAGTGGTATTTATCTATTTATCAGAGAGCACGACTGCACACTTTTCCACACTGGCCACACTAGAGGAATCCTGGCAAAAAGTCCAGCAAATAATCTGTGAATTATTATCAGAATTTCCTGTGGAGTGTTTTCATTTGAAAATACCACTGTGTTCCAGCACCCATTAGATAAATCGCTTCCAATTTCTCCCTGAGAGATTGGCAATAAATGAGAGCAGACATAGAGACATGCCTAGGCTGCAATCTCCAAAATAATACAACACACGCAGCACCTCAAAGTCTCGCTGCTAAAGATGGAGCAAGGAAAACAAATGAAAAACAAAACACAACATAAAACCAGATCCTAAATGCTGGTTTATTTTCTTCTGGAATGACCCTTTCTTCTACGCAGCTGGCTGTCTAAAATCAATATTGGTTTACAAGGATTGGAACAAAAAACAGAGCACGGGAAAACAACAAGAAATCTAAGCAAACAAACACGGAGGTCTTTCTTTTCACTTTAACCGAGACCGAACCCATGCGGCGATCGCACACCCTCCGTGAGGAGCGCAACGTTTGCTGCTGTTGCTGTGGAAGCTGTTGTTTTGTGAGCATTAGTAACGCTACTCTGACTGGCCGTGTGTGCACATTCACAATAAATATGGGCTGAATTTAAAGTCAGTGCCTTTGCAAATGATCTCCAGTTTGATCTACCGACGCCTTCCTACGTGTGAATTAAAAACACAAGCGATAGTTGGAAGTACTTGTGAATACTCCGGTGCAGATATCAAAACAGGAACAGTTACTTTTGCACTGCCGACACTGCTTCCGAATCCTAATGTTGTTTTCTTTATTTAAACAAAATTAAGTTTTGCACCCGTTCAGCCACGGGGTGTTTACCAATCAGCCAGCACTGAGCCGCTAACACGCAGAACAGCGACAGAGCAGGCGGAGAGATAATGCACTTTAAAGGCTTTGCCATCCGACGCTGACGACCTCAGCATGCGTACTGCATGCCTGCCTCCTCTGATTTCCACAGCTATCAGAGAAAACAAGCTTCGCACAGTCTATGTCTTTTAAAAGGGAAAAAAAACCCTCAACCTTAGAAAAAAAAGAAAACACTTCCTTCAAACTTGCTACACGTTAACTACTTTGTGCTAGTGTTCTTTTATTTCTAGTGTGAAGTGAAGTGAAGTGACATGTGGCCAAGTATGGTTACCCATACTCGGAATTAGTGCTCTGCATTTATCCCATCCAAAGTGCACACACACAGCAGTGAACACACACACACACCGTGAACACACACCCGGAGCAGTGGGCAGCCATTTTTTTGCTGCGGCGCCCGGGGAGCAGTTGGGGGTTCGGTGCCTTGCTCAAGGGCACCTCAGTCGTTGTATTGAAGGTGGGAGAGAGCGCTGTACATTCACTCCCCCCACCTACAATCCCTGCCGGTACGAGACTCGAACCCGCAACCTTTTGGGTTACGAGTCCGACTCTCTAACCATTAGGCCACGACTTCCCCATTCTATTTGAAGCTGTATATTAAACCATAATGATGGTAAATTTTCAATGTCTTCATGATGCCGCCATCAGGTTAAAACTGATAAGCCTGATCCAGTATTTTAGTATCAGCTATTATTATAGTTTTTTTTTATTAATATTTTGAAACAGTTTATTATTTTTATATTTAGTTTTTATTTTAATTTCATGTTTTAATAATTTTGTTGTTTTGTCATTTTTAGTCAAATTAACATTTTTGTGTTATTTTAGTACATCAATTAAAAATGAGAAATGTTGCAAATTAGCTGAAATAAAGTTATTCCTTTATTTATTTGTACATATACATACAGTATGTACACACTCACACACACACACACACACTGACAAAATACTTTTTTCAGTTAACACTTGTTTTATTTGATCTTTTTTTTTTGATAGTTTTAGTTCTAGTCAACTATAATAACCCTGGTTTAATCTGGGTTATTATATCAGTAGCACATTAAACAGTTCATAATCGAAAATATTTATTATAATTTTGTCTTTATTTTTGTATATTTTTTTTCTATTTCAGTCAGCAGAAATCAGAAAAGGAAAATATTTATTTGTAATTTACACTAATTATTACATTAATAATTTGCATTAAAAAAAAACATCTGTGCAGAACTGTTTCCTTCTTTTAGCACAGCCAGAAAATGTTTGAACAAATTTAAAATATGCTTTATGTTGCTAAGAAAATGCAAGAAAATCTTGACAAGAATATATTTCTCAAGTTATTAAACAAAATTTTCCATGCCTGAAACTGGAACACTTAAAATAAAAAGGAGCTTCTTTTTAGGAGGTCATTTTTACTACATCATGACAAATGTAACTTCCAGACTGATGCTGGGTGTGTATCTGGGGGAAAAAAATGAAATACAGTTTCAGGCTCATCATCAACCTCTGCAAAGAAATTTATTTTTTATTTTTT